AGGAGATATCCTTGCTTGATTTTCTCCCTTTCAGCATACCCCCAAGGAGACAACGTTCTGGACACGGGGTTGAAGTGTGAGGATCACAAATACCCAATCAACTGTACGCAGTGTTGGAAGCTACTCCCATCCGCCGACAACACAACGAACTGTACGCTCGATTGGTAAGAGCCATTTTCGTCCTGTGCAACTGAACTGAACTGAACTGAACTAGTGTTCTGCACTTCAAACGGAGACTAGACATCTCCTGGGACGATGTGTTTCCAGAGTATGACTAGCACAAGTCTCAGTCACTACCCACATCCTCCTTTTATAGCCGTTGTCTATTGCACCATCACTCATGTACATCACACAACTGACGCACAAAATCCTTTTTATCAGCCCCCGGGAAGCTCTCGTAACAGGAGTGCAGTCCGCTTAAGTGCGGCGCCGGTCAAGTGATTGAGACTATTGATTTTCCGAGGGCGATTCAGCTCTTCATCTCTGGAAAACTGTGGAACTACCTGGCAGTCGTAGCACAGTGGGAACCACCAGCTCACAAGTGCAAGAACCTGGAAGTCCATTGACCGAAGTCTAAAGTCCTGTGACCTGACCTGACCAACGTATTGTAAATTTGGATTTAGATCATTTTATTTATCTGTATGAATATTGAGATGGCTCAGAAACACCGGAACTCCCTCTCAATAATAGATAAAAAGAAATGCTGACGGAAGGCATTTTTCTGACCCAACCTTTGTTTAACTTTTTGCGGCGTCCATATTGCTTTCGCGAGTCATGGAGGGTCGGTCGTTATCGGAGTTGAAGGTGGCGGATCTTCGGCGCGAATTAGAGAAGCGTCAAAAAGACAAGGCTGGTGTTAAACAGGTTCTTATCGACCGACTAAAAGAGGTGAGAATATGCTGTGCGTTTATTTCTTTAGGCTTTGGAGGAGGATGGTCACGATCCACTCACCTACAGGTTCGGGAATGAGCTTGAATTGCAACGCACGGAGACGGAAGGCACAGATGCATCCGCGTGTTGCCGTGTAGCATTATGTGATGTAATATCGGTCCACTCAGTTAATGGTGATGATGCTGATCCGGGTAAGTTGGTTATTGCGGTTCATTCCCTGCCATGTGTCAGCTGCAGTTTTCTTCATGTAGCAATACTATCGTACCCAGATCGTGTATATCTAATCTAATCTAATGGTAGTACCCTTTCGGTGGTTGATTACTAGGGGAGGAAGAATGTCCTGGTGTCGAGGCAAAATTGTTTGACCACAATCCGCAAGCCGTCCAGTGCATTGATTTCGACAGTCGCTTGCGTCGTCTGCTGGAGAATTTGCTTTCAGGAAATGCTCTATAATTTGGTTGTCCATTACTGCACCACTTAAATAACTGAAAGAATGGTCAACTGTGATCTGATGACAGGTGCAGTGGATTTTCTCAATGATAAGGCTGCGCATGCGATGATTTAGCTGCCGGCTGACTGCAGATTAGCGACTCGTGTGACTGTTGGAACTCCCCAATGACAATGTTTGTCACCTGGCATTCGGTGAAAACTCGTGTTTCACGTCCAATTTCCTGGATCCCAGCCGCAGCATGCTCCGGTATTATAGTGGGGGAACGGGGTGGTCACGTACCCGCGTTGGAGGTGCTGTATTGCCCCGCCTTCCTTCAACGTTCATGATGGCAGCAGAAACGTCGAACAGCGGTACGAAATCTATGGTATAGAACAAACCGCGCGAAGTGTTTCTGGTCAAAGTTTCGCTGCATTCGTTTCTCTGCTCTGTTGTTGTAAATTGGTCTGTTCCCTTGTGCTGTATGTTGCAGCTTCTGTTGATGACACAAGTACACTGAAGTGTCAATTGACAGCTTAGGCCAACAAAGTGTATTCGCTTCGTAAGCGCACCTATCCACTTGTCTGGATTTGAAAACGTCTGTCGGTCAACCTTTCGACATGTGGATTGTTCCCGCTTGTTTCATGTCCCCAGCGACATTCCGTTAATCATATAGCTGTTGCTTGACCTAGTTAGTGTTGCATCGCTCTGGTCAGACCCGAAGTCTGTTCGGTCGCCCCGTCGTTTTACGGATCCCATTCCATGAGTCTAAGCTGCATGATGGTACTTTCATGTTTGTTTACTGAATCAGTTGCGATCCTGCCTTTCGATTGCACGAGTTATTGGCTTCTCAAAACAGACTTATCCAATGTGCGAATGAGTATCTGGTGACGGAGTGAACTTTCAAGCTACTTTTCGGAAATTTCCTAAGTTTGTATTCTGGCCCGTACGGTTATGCGGTGGATTGGCGTTTCAATTGGAAAGCAAGCTCGATGTAATCAACCTACTGACGTTTAGATGCACGCGATTGCCGTTCGTCTGAAGAACCTCCCGGATATAGAAAGAAAACCATATTGGATTTCAGTTGAAATCTTTGCAGGACCAATGTGTACCCTCCACTGAGACTGTTCAAAATTACCTCATTTTGCTACTTATACAGTTGTCCGAATATCGAACCTTTAGAAGTGAACGCCCCAAATGTTCATTAGTTCCGCGTTCACTGTTTAATGTGTAAAACTGCGTTTTTTCTCATAGTTACCACCTTTCCGCGATCGTTGTGGATTGATCGGTGGTTTCCTGTCTAATTGCATTGACCGACTTTCTTCTTTCTGCTCGTGGGCCGTAAAGCCCACCTCAAGGACGATTCATCCGTTAATCGGAATGAACAGCTCCAATCGGATCCGGGAAGCGAAGAGCAAGTCGAACATAAGAAGATCGCGGAAGATCCTGTGACCTACGTAGTGCAAGTTGGTGACCAAGAAGAGGATTTGGATTATGATTTGAAGACAGAAGGTGAAACGACTGTAGAAAACTCCAGTGCGAAAGATAATTCAGAAAAATCCCAGGATGCATCTCAGAAAGAAACTGATAGCGCAGAAAGGTTCGTTGAGAACCGCTAGGGTAACAGCCCGTTGTAATTCTTCTTGACTAACGGCTATTTTGTTTTTAGCGATAAAGTAACTAAACAGGGATTAGGTAGGTCACTTGAACACTGTATTCATCTGATAGAGAACCGAAACAACCTGTGGGTGAGCAATTTACCGAAAACGGTCAAAGCCGCAGATCTTAAACAACACTTCAGCAAATCGGGAAAGGTGTGAAAAAGCATTTATTCGGCTCATACAGGTTCTTATTAGGTTGTATCCGCAACTGTTGTCATGAGCACCCGGTCTCCTGGAGGCTGTTTCGGATTCCTTCAAATGGCATCTGCAGAGGATGCTGCGAAAGCGGCTCGTCATTTTGATTGCAGTGATTACAATGGACATAAAATAAGCGTTGAGGCTACTGAAAGGAAGCCACCTGCTCTCACCTCAAAGATCAGCGATCGTCCAAACCCATCCCGCGTCAAACATCCCAATGCATCCGTCAAAACGGAATCGTCTCGCCCACGTAGAAGGGTACCACTCAGTCGTGCCTCAAGACGCCCGAGATCTCGACCATGGTTTGCCCGAGCGAGAGCTGCCGCTGCCCGAGCGCTACAGCTAAGGCGCATGGCCCACAGGAGTCTTGTGGTTGAGGCTCGAAGAGAACCTCCTCGGATTTCACGACCGCCTCCTCGGATGAACCCACGATTATTGGCCTACCAATCTTTGAAAAGAGCTTCTCTGTTGCTTGCTGCCGCGCGTTACGGATCGAGTAGATCATCCCATGTGAGTTTGAACTACGTTAATTTGCAAGTGACTTCTGTCATGTGACTTTCGAGTAATAATCTGTGCTTAGTGAACACCAGTCCAAATCTAAAGCTACTTACGTTTTTGGTCTATGTGGACGCAGTGTTTAAGCGAAAAAGAATCGCTGTATACAACCGAATGTTAAGCTGCGCTCATTCACTGGTGTTTTATTGGATCACTGACGTTTCCTGGCAGCGGCAGTAGTCTGGACATTTGAGTAGGCATTTATATATATACATATATCACAATTATAACAGTTCCTGTGGACTTCCGCTATTTGCCGCACTATTTGGATCGAGCTACGCGAGAGTAGACGCGAGCTTCGCAGAATCTAAGACGCCAGGTTGTCTGCAGCTGTTTGGTGGCCACTTAGTACCTTCGCATATTAAATTCAGCCTAAGTGTTCAAAATGTTGACTTCCCCACAATGCGCAGTACACGATCGCTTGACTTTACGGTGTCGAGGCTTCAAGATCGGCAAATACAACTGCCCTCCATGAGCCACTTGAACGTGCAAAACTTGGTGGTGTGCCTAATTGTCGAGAGTACCGGGCGTGAGCGTAAATACACCAACTTCACTTCCAAACCTGCGTAGGCCCGATTTTCTTGGAATCGGTAATGCACCGATAGTCTCAACACTTGAACACTCGATAATTCTTATCTTCTGGGCTGGTTCTGTCTGTCACCAGTCGGTGCTTAGGTGATAATTCTCGCTGCAGTTTTTTAGTTCAACTTCTCTGTGTTCGGACACGCATCGTTTCCGCGCGTTGCGCGTCCAGTCGTATTCGCGTACCATACCAGCAGCAGTGTGTCGATATGAAATTGCCGTTGCGGGAGGGTATTATTGGCAGTCGCCTGATAGCTTATAATCCAATCTTGACGTTCAGTCGCTCGTAGAAGTTACGAAGACGAGAATCGTTACTTTGTGATGCTGTCCACAACACGATTCTCATTGTCACGGGTACTAGCGGCCAGAGTGGTTACATTCTTATTGATGGATCGTAGGAGATCCGATTGAGTAAACACTAAACCAGATAGCTGCGTGGTTGCTTGTTGCAGAACGTTTCTATGGTGGGCACTGAAAACAAAACTGTTTTTGAAGACGTTCCTAAGTCGCACTGAGGATTACGTTCTACATTAGGCTGGATTGCAGAAACTTTTATTGGAAAAACTTGGATCCTGTGCAGTTTGAGATGTCCTACTGTTACCTAAGTGCGCCTCATGCGTTCATCGATAATTCCTTCCAATCTTGTTGGATGTCATCATAATAATTGTAGAATCGCAACTTTGTATTTGATAGCGGTAACGTGGTAGCTACATGTTCATAAAATAGACGGAATTTTATGCATCCCACCAGATCAATATTTGTTGACTGTGGTGCAACATTCAACTGCAGAATGACTCCCGCTCACGGTGAAGATACTACTTGTCTGTGACCTGGTCCAATAGCAAATCGGGAGCAGCAGCAGTCATGTCCTAACCATGATCAGCTATCTTGTCAAAAGTGCTACTTTCGGAATTCTGTCTCGTAATTTCCTGTAGCGATGGAAATATCTTCGGTTGTTGTCATCCACGATTTCGCGAAACTTATGCTGGAAACGAAGCCATGCTGTTGCCAGAAGTGACTTTATTGCGTTCGCATGTTTTCTGCTCATAGCTTTTGCTGGCCAATTGTCGTGATCAAGCTTACCCATCCTGTCAATGTCCTGTTTTTTTTAAATATTTGAAACGAGTCAGGTTCGCGAACCGGCCCCACCTCGATACGTTGGCACCATGCGAAGTCAACCGCAGTTCGCCCGTCCAGAGTAAGCTGAATTTTGTATTTTACTTTTCCCTCTGCTGTATTTTGTGGTATTTTGGTTGATGCACTGTTTGAGTCATCCTTTAGGTGTCGTTTGATGCTTCCGCAGTTCTGTGGAAATCCCCAAGCAGGGTGCTTCGATTTCTTTTAGCGCAGCCTTTCTCGTTGCGCGATTTCCCATAGTTCTTGCAGCTTTTCCGTTGTGGTTTGCATACATGACCTCCGTAGATCCGTCCGAACAATTAATGATTGTTCGGAAATCGTTGGAGGCAAATCAACGCTGTAGTCTTCGATGGTGTACTTATTTTTACACCAACCTCAAACTCAGCTACAAGCACGATACTAGCTCAGTATTTCTTGACCAAGCAGTAATGGACTAACTTCGTGATTTGCTCGTTTACGGTTTGCTGTCTTCATAAGATCTGCGTGCACTACAGTGTACCAACTCAATGGCGTTAGAGACTTGTGGCGGCAAACCCGGGGCGCAGTAAAAATCAGTTTTCTTGTCTCCCTGGTCATCGGTGACTAACGAATCCTAATGCAGTTTGATTTTAGTTGTGTTGATTCACAACATCAGATGACCACCGAGGGAAAAAACATTTTGGCTATGGCGTTGCACAAGTCCCCACTCAGTACCTGATTTCGAATAGTCTGTGCAACCAAGAGGAAGGAATAACACGGAGAATATGAAAACTACCGAAGTAGCAGTTGTCCCTGGGCCTTCCTGCTTTTCAGTCTACCCACCGCTGAGGCGATTCATCAAAATAGTGATCCGGCTGATTTAACGCCGCTACCGATCAATGGACTATTTCCGTAGCTCCAAATAGTTGCTGATCCTTGTCCACTACGCCTATGATTGTCCTGCTTGTTTGCGACAAAGTCTGACCACCTGCATTCTTACGTAGTCGTTTAGAGCGGCACTATTGATTCCAGTAGCATGGCGAGCTGTTGTCCGATTTTCCGGTCGTTTTTTTTGATGAAAACTCGTACGATTGATGCCAATTTCTGCTACTCAGTAAACTCTGCAGCTTTCAGAACAGCGCGGGATTGGGCCCAAACTAAGTCAGCCTGATGTACATTCCCCTCTGAGTATCACCATAAAAAGTATCGCCGAATGGCTCGAGTGTTGTATGCATGTTAGTAAAATCCAACCGGATGACCACAAAGGTTACTAGACGTTGGTCATTTTTGCATCCATGTCCGAAGCGCAACTCCCACGGAAGGTGTCCGTGTTGTCATTCGACGATCGGGTATAATGATTTCAGTGGAGATGTCGCCTAGCTTCGCGATTGACAACAATTGGCAGGTGGTATTACTTTTCGTCTTGGATAGCCGAATCGGCTGAGTGTTGAGACCTACAAGTCAAGATTTTCAGTTTTGCTTTTGAATTATGTCCGTGATACGAAGGCAGTGCGCTATTAGCAGGGTGTTGGATTGAAAAAGCAACCCCAGGCTGCTCGGAGTTATCAACCAGTTGATTGTAATGTAGCCAGTAATTCGTGTTCATTTGGGAGGCGTTCAGTCTTCGTGCCTCAAATTCGTACACTTGAATACTCTGTCTACGTTGCAGTTGCCCTGAGGATGCTGTTATACACTGGTTCCCGGTGCGTAGGGGGCTGGGGGTCCAGTAGGTAATCAAAGAAATCTGAGTTCCATTTTTCGGCTTACTTCGTAGACAGAGAAAACGCATTACTCTTCAGATACGTAGGGTGACCTGATGTCATCATTTGACTTGATAGCACATGCAGCACAGTCACATTCAGGTGCGAGCTGCAGAAGGGCAATGTTATGATTGTTCACAGCCGGTGACCACATGTCGTTCGAGCGCCGGTTAGAGCTCCAGAGTGTGCTCGTGGGAACTATGAAAAACGTTGACCGCCATTCCGTTCAAACTCTTGCCACGAACAGAACAAGACGACCTAGCATTATCCCGTTGCGACCACGCTTGACCACGTCACACAGTTGTCATCACATGTGGATATTCGTGGTGGAGTCGATTACCACAGCAAGTTCTCGAACAGTTGCCGATCATCCACAACCTCGTTTATCCACAGCAACCACTAGAATCTGACTGCTCCTCGTTAGAAGAACAACAGCGACGGTGGATGGGTCGGTCTTCACCATGAATTACTCGAAAATCATTTATAAACACGTGCATTTTGATTTTGAAAAGTGCCTTTTTTCTTATGTGCTAGTGACTTGATGATGATGGTTTACATTCAACGGTTTTATGAAGTGTTTCGTTCCCAGTGGTTGATATCACCAAAGCGAGAGCTAGCGATTTTTCGATCCAACGTTTACTTGTTAACTGTTTTCTCGACCCAGAATACCACCACGTGGAACGTTCTCAAAGCATCAGTAGCGGGGCTTTCACTATTCATCGTGTTGTTTTATATCCTCGTGTCTCTGACGCTTGAGTTACTGACTAACTTTGTTCACTTGTACTAAAGACTTGTGGATTGTGGACACTGAATGCTGTTACGGGATAGTGACCTGAAAGTACTTCACATTTCAATTATCGAGTCGATAAGCGAACAAACTATTGATCACGGGTCAGAAATACACGAATACTGCTCGCTGCGCGTGACATTCCGGCATGAGTTTGATAGAGTAACCAAATCAGTACCCCAATACCAGTGTCAATGCAGGTGCTCATTAACTGATTCTGCAGATTGCGTTAATCAAATAACTCGATTCTTTAATGCTCTTACATCCTTTCGTGGATTATGCTCGCCGCTTATTTTTTCTTTTGCTTTATCCAAGTTTTTGCAATAGTGTCTTCAATTATCTGAAAACTGTGTAATTTTCGATTCTGTGCACTCAATGAGCACTTGCTTTTATTCTTTAGTGTGGAGTTCGATCGGAGCTGTCATCGATATTCGTCTGATCGCCGAGAGATTCGCTCAATAACACCTAGACGATCCGAACCGCGAATAGTTCATCTAGAAAGACGGCGACCAATGAATCAGTCGTATGAGGATGAAAGATCCAGACCACTACCACCGCCGCCCCGTGTTGTCTTACCTCGTAGGTCTGAGCCCATAGTACGCGAATCGCCCCGATTACGAGAGCCTCTCCCTCCTCCACCTTCAGACAGACGCCGTTCGCTGCCGTCTGCTCGTCCATTGGATTCGCATCAAAGAGCTCGCGCACCGCGATCTCCGCCGGAAATTCAACGTCCGTATGGTCGTCCTGTCCTACCTCATCGCCCCGAAGGGCATCCTTACGAACGCATGGATACGAGGTTAGCAGAGTGTTTTTCTCTCCTTCTCTCTTGTTTGTTTATCACATATAACACAACTTTTCGTTTCCTTTTAGTCGCTCTCAGTTGAGCGCAAATCGACATCCCCCATCACCGATGAGCCCCCCTTTCGGTCGCGTTCCGGAACACTATCGATCTCCATATGAAGCCTCAATGGAGCGTCGACCCAGTCCAGTTCGGGGCTATCCGTCACGGCCTTTACCATCGCCACGTCGTGATTATAGAGACATCAGTCGTAGTCCACCCAGGTCGCGCAACATGTCGCTAATGCGACCATACCCGGATACCTCGCCACAGCACGACACGCGTAGTCTCCGCTCAATTCGTGATCGCAGTCCTCCGACGTACAATAGCAACAGTGGTCCTCGACCGAAAGTAGTGGATTACGGACATCGTTCAGGTAATTAACTCTAGCTTTGAACTTGGTTGCACTTGATCAATGATGGGAATAACCTAGTGTTGAATAAGATTCGTTCCATTATCCGCTTGAATTGACTTTCAACATTTCAATCTTCATCTTGCCTGCTCTTTTATCCAAATCGATTACCAAAAGACGGCTACCGAAACCGGCGCACCAGAAGGCAAGGTTAATGATTGTTAACACTGAAAATCGATCGTATTTGCTTAGATGTGCTTTATCGAATTTCAAATAAGACTGTGCTGGTCGGTTATGTTAACAGCAGTGATTTATCCTCCCATACCTTCGGGGCAGGCGCGGTTATCTTGCCTATTACTTATTCTCCATATGGTTCAGTTCAGTTCAACCTGAACAACCATTAACCATGCACCGGTTTTGGTAGCTGTGCATTAGCTGCCTACTTGGATGAACAGAAAGGTTGTAAGCTGAATAGAAGTGAGAATCGGGAATTTCAGTGGATCAATTTAGAAGATGCAGGAACACCATTGTTTACGACTCCCAGCCATATCACTGAATGTCTCGAAATACCGATTACCCATGTTCCGTGGTCCCCATCAAGGTAAACCCGCAGGGATCTATATGTCGCGGACACCTAGTTAGGCTTTTCATTACCTTCATACCAGGTCTTAGCTTGACTGTGGTGATCATGCGAGTGTCCAATCAGTGGCAATCTTCAACCGGTCCGAGCGGTTGCATTCACCACTCGCCCGCGATATTCAGTTAACTGTCCTTACTCTAATAATTCATAAACTGACAGGAAATGCAGTGAGTAATGTTTCACTTACCCCTTCTTTTCTAGAACCCCATGAAAACTACCCCGGTTGGAAGAACAATAGCCCACGAATTCAAACTCCGGGTCATACATGGAAACCGGCTGGCCATTCATTCGTTTCCAATTATGGGTCTCGTCGTTATTGATGTCACTGTAAAATTCTGCACATTTCCTCAATACATTCTAATACTACTGTATAGATTGACTTGTGTTTGACCAAGAAGTGACTACAAGTGCTCCCCAATTAAAACCAGAAGTGACACCACATTCGATGTGTACGGTTCAGAACAGAAATTTCGCATGGGCATTTTCACTTGCGTTAAAATCGGAGTCGTCCATAGAAATCAAATGACAGAAGAGTTTGGAGAACTACTTCAGAGGTGGTAGTGTAAGCAACCAGGTGTAAAAACACGGTGATGGTACAAACCCGTCCGATAAGCTGGCCTCAAAATGTAGTGCTTTGGGGGGAACACTTTGTGTAGACAACACGCCAACGTAGGTCTTCGCTGACGCTTGTAACACTTGACATCACAGTTCAACGAGTCTCCCATGCTGGCTAATTCAGATAGTTCTAGGGGCGTGCCCTGGTAACGACGGCATGACCAACATAAGCAGACATCCGAAAAGAGAACCAACCTGAGAAACGCATTAATGCATCATAGTCGGTCGACTTAACATCGGCCTCTTAGATAGGATGAGAAATTTATCGTTAGACATCAGGAAAATTAGTTGGTCTTAGCCGCGACGAACGAAAAACCAAAATGCCTCGTGCTTCGGTTTTTTGTTGGTCGTTGCTGAGGCAAGCTGATATCATCGTACAACGAGATACAGTGAAGCGAGCTCCGCTGATCGCTGCCAAGCTCATAATGAACACAAATCAAGTGATGAATCACAAGATGGAGAGG